AGTAATGTAATCTGCCACTTACAAAGTGAAATTTAAATGATGGCACTTGAAAAAAAAACACAGTAGAAAATAAATGGAACCAAGTAAGTTTCCTAGAAGGTAAGAAAGCCCTGAGTGATGACAGAATTATTGATTGGCAAGCTTTAGAATTAACCTAATTACAGTTTACCACTTGAAGCAAAATTTCCCAAGTGTTTGAAAGGCACTCAAAGTTTATTCAATAGCCTCATTGGTTATTACTGTAAATCCAAATTTCCAGTTGAGAAACTTGCTTTGGTATGTAAAATTATATTTTTCTGACATTTTAAATTACTTTATTGGGTTACTTTAATATAATTAATGTATTTAATTTTTAAATGCAAAACAATCACTTCAACAATATATTTAGGAACCCTTTAGTATACTTTGTGTCAAAAAAAAACAAAAGCACCCCCCCAAAACTCAAACCCCATCCCCCCACCCCCCCCCCAAAAAAAAACAAACCAAAAAAACAACAAACAAACAACAAGCCAAAAGAAAAAAGGCCTCCTGTTGATATCAGCGAGTCAAAAGATACCGGGTTTGGTTCCTGGTAAACACCAATCAAGGTGACGTCGTCCATTTGCAGTCATAATTCTTTTAAAATATTTACCGTTTTAGAGTAAAGTTCACCCAGTGCTGAAAAGTCTTGCAAGACGTTTGCACCACAATTAAGGAGGCACTCGAAGAGCATTTCCCTGTTTTAAGTGAGGGTCATTTTGATGCTCATAGTCTTGTTATGGACTTTCTTCTCTACAATGAATTTCAGCCTTTATGATCAATTTACAGCAACAATTCTTACCAAAAGTTTAATTACTCAGGGCTTCCAATCCCAACATTTTAATTGCTGGGTTTATTTGATTTTTTCTTTTAAAAAAAAAAAAAAAAAAAGAAGACAAAATCAGAATAAACCAAAAGAGTTTAAACGATCAAACAAATGCCATATTTTCCTCAAACTAAAACTAGGCAGTCACTTTGTAAGTGGCTTTTATTATTTCTTAAGTGAAATGAATATATTAAACTCAGGTCTGCTAGCATATAAAATCACTAGCAGCAATGTCCAAGGCATGCAAACTGGGAAGCATTTACAATAAATTATGGATAAAAATGTTGTTAAATTAAAACCCTTTGAGTATTCCATTTTCATTATTCATGAACTTGCATTAATTGACTAAAAATCTTTACAACTTACTTGCAGTATACTATTGATGTAATTTCACTAACTAGCTAGGACAGTGACAGCAAAGTCCTCAGGTCGTAGGTTTTGTAAGAGTGTCCTTCTCTTAGTTGGAAGACCTTACAAGGCTAGACGAGCTCCATCTGCCTGGGTTTGAAAATAGAAGTTTTCCTTCTCCTATGAGGAAGGCTTGTCTTCACTAACGAAGATTCAGGAGGGGCTTTACCCACGTATTCTGAGCAAGACTGTCATCTCCTGGGTCAGTCTCGAGCAACCGATGACGCAAGAGCACAACATCAAACGTCTAGGCAGGATTCTGACTTAGAGGCGTTCAGTCATAATCCCGCAGCAGTTAAACCTCAGGTGTAAAGGGTGGGGCCAGTTCTGCGTACGCTGCGCCTCACCTAAAAAATCCACTGTGCAGGCTGGAAGGGCTTACTCTCACTTGTCTGTATGGACAGGCGAGGGTCAAAAAGGCAGGTAACAAGGTGCATTGGAAGCTGCAGATCCAACCTTGCATGCGGGCGGACCAGGGTATGGGTCGCTCCAGATTGCCCCAGGAGTTGACAGTCCTGGTTGGACACTTCCTGATTGCCTAAGCATCCTTTTAACCTAATTTGCTTATCCCACATGCCCTTGGTCATCGTGCTTGTAGTAAGCGTGGGTAAAGCCCTTCCCAAATCTTCGCTCAAGAAGCCAAGCCATCAATTTCACTAAACAGTGTAATGAGACTTTTTTTTTCACTCAAGTAGATTTGAATAACTACATCTGTACCTAGTATTGCTCATTGCTACTGCCAGGAACCAGTAGAAAAGCTCAGTATGGTGGTATTTATATCTATAATTTTCAACAACTTGCTTCTGAACTTGTTCCCTTGTTCTGGCAAGTGCTACTTGTAAGAACAAAGGACTTCTTCAACACAGCAGAAGGCATGTGCAATTTCTAGGTGTTTGGGGTTTGTTTTTTTCTTTCTAAATTCTGATAATAAGAGTCATCCGAAGTGCATCCTTGTAGAGGATGCACCTCTGTCGTTCCATTAGATCATATCACAATGACTGAATGTTAAAAGTAATATGAATACAGCAATGTCCTTTTTTTTTGTTGTTTATTTATCAGATAGACTGCAGAAAATTTGATTGCAAACATATCAAAGGTTCGGTAAAATTCATTCTCTTCTTAACTAAGCAGTTTTGGTTTTATTTATTTTTTTCATTTGCAGTATTAGAGTATTTTAATATTGCCCTGAAGAGATTTTCAAAATTGTGCATTTTTTTCCTAAACCTCCATCTTGTAAAGGCATCTAAAGTAAACAGCTTATGTCTGTCAAATATATGATTTCTCCAGATATTTATGCAATTATGAAAACAAAATAGCAGAAGTAGTGTTTTGCACCAGACAGCATGTTGATGGCATTGAGTAATTTAGCCTAAATCTGTTGAGCCTTCTGGAACAAAATATTTTTTCTAGTATGCAAGTATTTGATTTAGAAATTAAAAAAAAAACAAACATCTACAAGACAATCAGTTATTTAAATGTAGAGAATATTTTCAGTGGTCTAATTAAATTACCCAAGAAGTGTATCCTTACAGTGCTCAAAGGGTTGACGTAAGGTATTCCATTAAATTAATTTTCTAATGCTAAAACTAATAATTTTGTGTTTATGCTTCTACTCCTGGTTTGTTTGTTTTGTTTTTTTTTTTGTTTTTGCTTGTTTGTTTTTCTTTTTTGTCACCAAAGTAGCAAAGATACTAGAATAACATTAATTGACCTGTTTTTAAACCACGGACATGATAGTTTTCCAGTTCTACAGACAAGGATGCAATTTTCAGAAATTTACACTGATCTCTCAATTGAATTGTTTAAACTCTGAAATCACTGTTACATGAAGTACCAAAAATACTTACATTATTAAAAAAGTTAAATTTTTACCAATTATTTTTCATTACTATAAAAGGTAATTATTTTGCAAAACCACTCTATGAATGAAGTTAGATTGCAATGTAGCTCTAATATAAATGTTTTTCTAAACAATGCTGATATAATTTGGTGAGAACCACAAATATATCGGGTCAGGTCTTCCCTCATAGAAAATATTTTGAACAGAAGCAGTGTTTCAGACATTTAAAAATACTTCAGTTTAAATTAAAATGTTTTACAGACCTATACATTCCTCAGTGACATTACATCAGCACGTTTTTTTACACATTTGTGAACTAAAGGCAGAAATGCTGTACATCATCATTTTGCAAGTAAGCAATTTGAAGAATATTCTCCAAATATTTTAATGGAACATTAAAAAAAGGAGGTGCACAAAGCATGCTATAGTGCAATAATAAACCACAGAAATAGATAACTGAAAAGAGGTGGTTTGTTTGCTTGTTTTTTAACTGGCTTACAATGAGAAATATGAAAATGTACCAGCAACTTTTCATAACTATAAAACTTGAGAAAATTGGGCCCCGTGTTTTGAAAAAGTAATTCAACAATACCTATTCCGCCACTAATATGGGAATTGTCTCTAAAATAATTATTTTTAATTTCACATCAAGGTCATGTAAAATCCACAAATCATATGAGCCCTTATTATGTCTAGCCAGTAGACGCTTGCTACAGCTCTTTAGAGCTCTAAAAGAGTTAAGCGAGCTTCAGAATAGCAATTCAGCCACATACTACACACTACATAATTTAGACCGAGGTATCCATATTTTTGCTCTTAAATCATTAACAATAATTTACTGATAATATAAAAAGTGTGTAAATTTGTCTCATATGTGTACGTTTGATCAAAATTGCAGTAAATTTAAAAGCAAAGCACAAAAATCTCATACCTGTAAGTATACACATCAGCTTACAGCAACTTAAATTTTTCACATTTTTGCTAAAGTAGAGAAAATATTACTTAAAAATGTGAGAGAATAATTAGTTGATAAGTATAGAAATACAAACTCCAGTTATCTGAATCAGGGATAATTCCAATTTGTTTTGATAACTGCTATTAAAATACATGATATAGCTTCTATCTTTGTATGCGCATATTTTGTTTTCTTTTTGCACTACATGAACAGTGATCAACTATTCAAAATATCAATTGAAAGATATTCAGGTCTCACCTCTTCTTAGCAATCTAGATTTACATGTTACAACCATACTTTCCTCTTAGCAACAACAAATCCAACATTCTACCAAAAACTGGCAATGATAAGAAAGCATTTAAGGTTTGTCATCACAAAATTTGAAACCAGGCAATACAGACCATCAGTACAGCATAGAACACCCTATGTTTAAAATGAAAAATGCTGAATATTTAATTTTAATTTACTTGTTAAAATCTTATAATGCAAAATAAAAGGTAGTAAATATTTATCATAGGGATATTTTTAGGATTTTTGGTGATGGATGCTGATTTCTAAGGGAAAAAAAAGCAAGATGCAGTGATATTTGGGAGAACAAAATCTATGAGGATTCATTGCACAGGTGACTTTAGATATAAATGAGTATAAACCTCATTTGCACTTTTTGCCAAGACAACATCTGCTGACATCAGTAGTAATGTTGCCTACATAGAATGGAGCAGGATGGGTTGGCCTCCAAATTTTGCTAAGTAATTTACAAATAATTTTGTACCTCAAAAAATGTTAGGATGCCTTAGTTGACCTGTAGCCATTCTTGGAGCATCTGAAAGATGTAGCAACAAATTTCTTTGCTAAAAATGCACTTTTCATTTCACATGGTGTTCACCCATTTGGTATATATGACTTAAAAAAAAAAATAATAAATCAGTCCACAGTCGCACTACATAAAAAAAAGAAACTTCCTACATTTCTTTATACAGTCCTTTCTATAAAATCGATTTTTTTTATTCTCTCCTTCACTTTTTTGCTTTTAATTATTTATTTTCACTATTTTAGCTTAGCAAATCCATGTGTCTTCTTTAAAAATAATGAAAAAGCTTGAAAAAATCAGAGATGTTTAATATCAATTAATATGGACTGTGTGAACTACCACTATAAGATGCAATCATTAAAACATAGCGTCAGGCTGACACCCTACCACATACAGAAATTGAAAATATATGCTGCATTATGTACCTGCTCGTTTTAGTGAGACTTCTTAAAATTAAAAGCTGACAAGGGTTTAAAAATACATAGCCATGCTTATGACTAGGGTCCATTTACTTTGTTAACAGCATTTGAAGTTGGTATTAAAGCTAGTTTTGCTTTTCAAGTTCCCAAGCAAATTTTATTTGTAATAAAGTGAAATTCAGCTAGAAACAAAAAAAAAAAATAAATTTCATTATTAATTTTAAGAGGGATATTAAAATCACTTAATAATAAAACCCCTTTTATTTCTTTGAAGACTATGTAACCTGCCCTTAATACTTAGGAAATTTGAAAGTTACAGGCACACCTTGTTGAATAAACTTCAAGAGTTATTAAGAATAACAAAAAATACTAAATCTTAGCTTCAGTTCTATTTAAGGCACCATGTAATAGCCGAGGTACAATGATCCCTGATGTACATTCTTAAATGGCAATGGTCCATCTAGCCACCTATTCAAATTCAATGCAATTGGGAATCAGTACAAGTGAGGTGTGCCAGCTACACTACCTTATTATTTTTGTGTAAAAAAATTAAATTTACTTTAATAATCAGGAAATATATTTTGAAAAGAAAATGATGCAGGTTGCTACATTCCTTACATTCTATAAATTATCATTTATGAAAGCAGCAGATTGAACTAGTAGTAGGAAAAGACCTGGAATAGAAGAAATTCATCCAAAACGAGTTTTTCCTGCATGTCCAGCATAATCAATTCACTTCTTTTCTGGTTCAGTTTCTATCAACTACAGTACCACTCAACAACCAATAGCATCTGTGCAGCGGTCTCAAATATAGGATCAGTACTCTCAAAAAACAGGGGAACTGGCATGCAAATAAAATCTGGAGCTGTTGATTTTAAAGGAAGTTTGGATTGTTTATGTGGTGATCAAATAATTAGGTATGCCTGCAATGTAAAAATTACCACATTGTTACAGTACTATCACTCATTCTGCATTTGTAAATGCAGAGAAAACACTTCCTCCTTAGGGAAAGAAAACAGTAGATCTTCCCAACCCTCCAACAGTATGATAAAAATACCCCCTGGATGCTAACAATTTAATCAAAATAGTGTCTTCTAGTTCTGTTCAATGAAAAGCACCTTTTATAGCAAACTCGATACATCTGCTGTCAAATGAGTATGCCTCCAGTATAAGTCAAAGTATTTATTTTAATATTTCACAGAAGTGCATCTAATTAAAAACCTATGTATATTAAATCATTATGACAAATAGTTAACATCATTAAAATATTTTTAAATTATGAAAAAGAAGTTATTTGATTTTTAGGAGGACAAAAGCATTAACATTACAAGCTTTGCAAAAATCTTCCTTGACACTCAAAACTAGGAAAACTCAATACCAAGTAACCAATGCAGAATTATTTTGCTTAGAAATTTGTTTTAAACATCCGGCAAAATGCATGCACCCATTTCATTTCAGAACTCCAATAAAAGGTAATGTTCAGCACAGCTAAAATTTGATAAGTCAACTTGCAGACCTATTCCCCTCCCCCCTTTAAGTCCAGCATCAACAGTGCTAATGTAATTGGGCGGGCACGTCAATATCACACTGCAGTATATGCATTTCCAGTAGCACTGCACTGTCTGATAGTCTGAGAATTTGTAACAGTGTGCTCATTATGAAGTGGGTTCAGGAGGCTCTGCTCTACTCCACTCTCAAGCACTGGCTGCTGCATAGAGCCCACCTGAAATGCCTGGTTTAGTTCTGTTTTCTCCCTCTTGGCTTGTGGCTCTCCATTTTCATCCAGCTCTTCTTCTATTTCACTTTCAACTTCACTGCCATCATCTGCACAAAAAAAAAAACAAACCCAAACAACAACACCAAAAAGAAAATCAAACAAACAACAAAGCAAAACCAAAACAAGCAAGAAAAAATATCACAAAAGGAAAAATCTAAACACGAACGTCTTCATTTTTCAAATAAAATGAAATGTGAAAACACAAGGAAGTGTAGCAACCTCATAAAATACAAACTGAAAGATCAACTTTTTATTGGGAAAAGTCAATAAATACTACAGATAAATAGGATAATGAACCCTCTCTAATGTTATCCCATTTTACTGAAAATGAAATGAAAGTGAAATGAAGAGAGGTTGACTTGCTCCAAATCATACAACCAGCGTAAGAATGGAGAACAAACTAAGCCTTTAATCTACAAAGAGGACAAAACCTCATTTCTTACTATATCCTTCAGTAACAGTTAGCAAGCTATTTGGTGAGTGCTTGGACACAATTTCGCCATCTTCTCTTCTCAAACTCCTAATTCACTACAAATGTCAATATATGTATATTCTCATCATATCTTTCTTTTTCCAACTGTCCATCCCCTTCAACTCTCTCACCAGGATATACAGCTAAATTCTGGGTGAAATTTTGAAAATTTCTTGTGCAAACAATAAACATTTTAAAAAAGGTTTCCTATTAAGAACCTAGAGTATTTAGTCATTATTGTATGCTATATATCATGTATAGCATATTGTACCCATATAATAGTAATATGCACATAAATCGTGATACAGATTTAGATTCTGCTTTCCTATGTTTTCAAAAAATAAGAACTTATTTTGCTCCAAGAGACACATTAGTTCTACATAAAACTGTACATTTGAGAGATTTGACTGCTTACCTTTATCCATATTTCCAGGGGATATAGAATTTAAATCACCAAACTGCAAAATAAATAATAAAAAGTGTGGACACAGTCCTACACAAACACGACCTTAGATTATCTATGATGAAGCCAGTACTATGCTCCAATGTTTTGTGGCTAGTATGAAAGTACATGCATGTGACTGCAGTCACAACCATAGTATACCAGTTCATTTTCCATCCCATCATATTCATGTTCATATTAAGGAAATTAACATTAAAATAAAAATGCTCAGCAATTAAAACCATGGAATATAAACCTGAGCATATGATTTTGCTTTTTTGGGTGACTTATGTCAAGGCCTTTGTTGCTTTGAGTGAGATATTTCTTATGTAGAATGCTGGAAAATATGACTAGTGTCCATTTTTAAACTGCGATATTTTAATGGAAAGCTCCTTTAAAAGTTCCTCTGAGAAGGTGTCTCACTAAAGGCAGTTATAGTGTAGCAAAACTATATGCAAAGTAAATAAGTGGCACCACTGAAAATAGGGTTTATGGTTATTACAGTGCATTCTAGTTTATTTATACAAATAAAGTGAAAAAATGCTCGCAAGTAAATGCAACCTTCCTTTCTCCCTTTCCTTGTGTGAGTCATCTACTCTTCTCTTCAATGAGAAGCAGCAGAGCATAATTTGATGGGTGAATCTCATACAAAAGGAGTACAATATTTAGATAAATATATTTCTAACCATACTTGATTCAGTCCTTTTCATAAATATGGAAAGATAAAACCTCAGTGAACACTAAACCAGCATAAGTAGCCCTATCCTTCCAGGTTCCCTCACACATACTCCCTTCTCGCCTCCCCATACCCATCCTTTTGCCTTAAGTGTTCACATGGCCATGCAAAGAACCACATGACAGAACTGACCCAAGGAAAACCCCACCATTTTAATGGGGTTATTTTGCACAGGATGAATTCTCTGATCCAGTTAACCACAGGACTGCCTGAGTACTTGTGCCAGCATCAATGTCCAAAGCTAAGGGGACAGGAGAGGAGGAGACAGAGTGCTTTTCTCAGCTGCAAAGCCAGTTTATACTGGCTTCAAGTGTTTGTCAAACTAGCCTTAGTCTTTCCTATTATATTTCATCCACAGTCAGTAAATGCAGAGAAACACAAGAAGCCATGGATTTAATGAATATTTATGTCATCTTCCCTGTTATCCTCTCACCTCTCAAAGCTTTAGATTGCTCTAAGATCATATCCATCTTAAATTTGCCAAAACATTATAGGAAGTCCCACAGTGCACCAAAACCATTACATTTAACCTATACCATATCTGTCAAGAAAAAAAAATCATAGAGATACTACACTTTTGCAATACTTTGCTATAAATGTAATGGCAGTGTTTAATCAAATACCTAATCAGAAACAGTCATTTATTTTTTCTAAAGCATGCCATATCTAACTACAAATTAAGTCAAGACTCCCCATCTCTATGAAAAAGCACATAGAATCGTATGTTCACATCTATCCATTTTCTACCACTTTAAAAGCACTGATCCTTGAAGATAACTCCTAAGATAATGTGAATTCTTAAGCAACTCACACGAAATTACCAGTTAGGTGGGCTACTGTAAAAAAGAGGTCTGACATAAACTTCAGTTTGCAAATACAATGGGCTCATATAAGACACAGAGGTTCTGAATTGAGACTTTTGATCTGTTTATTGAAATATAAGCATGAAAATATGCAATGGCCAATCCTGCAAGTACTTCTGTGCTACTTTCATTTCATGCATGTCGTTGTCTGTTGGCCCTGATTAACACCAAGCACTCATCTAGCCATTCGCTTACTTCCCCACCCCCTGTCCAAAGGGATGGTGGAGCAAATAGGAAGAACTAGAGTGAGAAAGCTCATGGATGAAGATAAAGACAGGGAGATCACTTACCAATTGCTGTCACAGGCAAGAAAACAGGGGGAATTTAATTTATTGCCAATTAAAATAAATATTTAATTGCTGATTTGAGTAGTGGGAAGCAAAAAAGAACAAAACATTTAAACACTTCAGGAAAACATCTTTCTTCCCCCTTTCCCAGGCTCAACTTCACTCCAAGCACCTCTCTTCCCCCTGTGTTACTGTTGCAAGTTACACTCAATCCCTTCAGCGAGGCCTTGTGGTCAGTACATAGCATTTTTTCTCTGTCACTCCTTCCTTCTCACTTTTCCTCTGGTTCTCTACAGGCTGCAGTTCCTTTGGGAATATCCCTCTGTTCTGGAGGTTCTCCACAGGCTGCAGGGAATATCTGCTCCACCATGGATCATCTCCTACTGCTCTGACCTTGATGCTCCCTCTGCTGTTTCTTACTCTCTTTTTGTTCCCTCCTCCTGTGCCTGTCTGGTGTTTACTGCCCTTTCTCAAATGTTTTCACAGAGGTGCCCGAAAGTTTGCTGATTGGATCAGCTTTGGCCTGTGGTGGGTCCATTGCCAAGCTGGCAAGAACTGGCTGTGTCTGGCACAGGGCAGTCCCATACTTCTTCTCACAGAGTCCACCCCTGCAGCCCCTGCCCTGTCCCCACCTCCCCTCTCCACCCCCCAGCCTTGCCACGTACAAGCAATACATGTAAACAGTGCCACTGAAGCAAAAGCAAGTTTTGTATGATTCTATTCCTTTTTTGATTTCATATGAAATATTTAGTTTCCCAGAACTCAAAGAAGGTTTCTACCTAGTAGGTTGATCTAGAGTTTTTTTGTTTGGTTGGTTGGTTTTTGTTGTGTGTTTTTTTTGTTTTTGTTTTTTTTGTAAGAAGTAATTGTGGTTTTAGTACACTGAAAAACAATCAGCCAAGGAAACATGGATTAAGGTATATAACTCAGATTTGAAGATGCCAATGTCTTTGCAACTCAATCTGCAACAGTTACATTACAAAATATCCCATAACTCCACGTAAATGTTAAAAATGTAGATGCATATCCAAACTGATCACCAAATTCACCAATCCATTGTCTTACATATTATCTTACCTCTCCCATAACTGCGATTGGTGTCTCTCCTGTTGCCTGAGCAACACGGTGCTCTACTAAGTAAAACATGTACTCATCATAAAGCAAGCGGATCAGATGAAAAGAGCCAAAGCTAGCAGCACTGCGTAAGGTTAAATCTCGAATCACCATTGAGCTATTTAAACATGGGGGGGGGGGAAAAAAATCACAGTTCTTTATTAATTTATTCATATGGAATATGCACTTCAAGAATAATATTTTTTAAAGTAATGCTATCCACAAACAGCGGATTTATGGTGTCTTCAGAAAGAAATGTCCCGGGAAAACAATTATTTTCTGAAAGCATGGTTGGAGACCACATTATACAACTAGAAGCTAAATTTTCAAAAAAGACAGGAAAGGTTTTGTTTTGACATATTCACGATTACCAATATGTGAGCGCATGTAAAAACTGACCTTAGTGGAAGGAAGTTCTTTGCTAAAATTTTAAATAATAAAATTGTATTAATATTATTTAATTTTAAACAAAGCACTCTTTCAAAATATTGTGTCTGTTATGCTCACATTCCTAGTTCAAGGTTTTTAATTGATATGTTTTTTAAACTTATAAATTTAAATAAGTTTGTGTACACCTTCTAATAGAAAAATGCAAATAGTGGATGAAAACTCTATCCCAGCTGAAACCAGGACAGTATGAAACCCTCAGAAAGTAGGTGCTACTATGTACTATTTTGGAAAGAAAACACTAGCTTTACTATGATAACTGATACAGTAGCAGATGACATGGACTTTTTGTCTTTATGTTCTTTTTACACATTAAACATATTTTTTCCCTACGTAATGCAAATAGAAGCCATGCTATTTTAATAAATAGTATTAAGAGCATTGGCTTTACAACTGTATAGCTTTTCAATATGAAATGTTTCATTGCATGTTTCCAAATCAGGAATCAAATCAAATATACAAGGATCGTTTCATCCTCTGCTGAGTTGCGCATAGCCCTGTGTTTAACACTGACAACACTAATCTTTCGGGGGAAAGGGAGGCTCTTAATTTCTTGGGAACTATTGTCTGATATTAATTTTGTCAACATTATTGAAGCATACAGTTCAGCAACTAATAAAATAGCTAAAATAATTTAGAAGACTATTAAGAACTACCTGTAGAAAGACCATTTTAAAAGAAATTGCCGTGCTGCTTTAGGAAAGCTGGGTCTTCCTTCATACGGTTTCAATGCTTGCATCATTACATTATCAAGCCAGGCAGCCCACTGCTCCAGAGTGCTCTGCTGCTGAAGAGTCACCTTGAAATCTGTTTCTAGTCTTTGAACCATATTGTCATCACACTGACACACCCAGGAAGCCTGCTCCTGTTGCAACACATGGCAAACATGAAAGCAAACCACAAAATGTAAATTATTCTTAAAGACTGAACATTTAAATGAAAAGGATGAAATACACTTATTAGGCAAACTAATGAGTATTTTTATTTTCATGTCCCTTTCAATTTTGTTGGAAGAAAATGAAAGTAAGGAACCCAAAGTATAAAAATGGGCATCAAATAAAGTACATGCGCACAAAAATACAATGGGAAAAAACACAAATACATTGCAATGTTCCATATTAATTTTCATGACAGAATTTTCAAATTCTCTCATAATTTTTCTAGTAAAATTTTCAGGAATTGTCATGCTTGGGACTACAGGAACAAGGAATGGAAAGGGCAGTCAAATGCAAGTTGAGAGAATAAGAAATAGAGTAACCAAGAAGCCAAAGTACCATGGTTCCTATTTATTTGAAAGAGTTAAGACCAAGTACAATTTCTGTGATATTTTTTAATTGCCTTGATTAAAAAGAGCTTTGTTTTCTATGCAAAAAATTATTGTTTTGTTTATCCATAGACTGCAATATATTGCACATTGCTCAATGAGTAATATAAATAGCACATAACTGGACAAACACAGTCCATGTACAATAATCAACAATTCACACTATTAACATCAAATGTAATTATATTAAATTTTAAAGTTTAAATAAGACCAATAGGACACGTCTGTTAAATGGAACTTAGAGAAAACCAATATTGGTTTAATATAGGCCATATTCTTAAACTTCAGCTGTCACATGCCAAGTTAACATCTCAACTTTTATAGACCCTGCATCTTACCACAGAACAGCATTTAATATACCATATATTTGTCACATACTAATCTTAGGTAAATATGCACACCATTATGCTATATAACTATATCTGTGTTAAATTTTATTTATTCAAAGGTCTTTCTCAATAAGCAAAAAGAGCTTAACTGTTGCTAGTGAACTCCTGAACTTCTGTTAAGATAAAATGTGCTAAAAAGTTTGTTCATGAAAGAAGACAAATGTATGACTGCCAGTAATCTGGGCAATGTCAGTTAGCTGAGCAACAGGAGAAAAAAAAATGCTGTTTCTTCTAAGGAGAAGAAAGAGGTAAAGGGCAAATCTTTTTTCTAAACCTAATGAAAAAATACTAAAACTGATGTTTTACAGATAACTGGAAACTACTTCTGACCACTTACTTAGGAAAGGCTGGAAATGTAAACACAAACAATTAAGGAAAGTATACCAATGATATTATCTTTGAAATAAAAATAAATGTAATGAAACAATCTATACTAGAAACAGTACTGTATGATCAATATTTTTTTTAGGGAAGATCAGAAGCTATGCTATTATCGAAGATTTCTTCTTCAGGCATTATTCATGCTGTTCATTCTAAGAACACATGTACTCTTTGCTTTCATCTTCATTAAATAAAAAATGGAAGAATGAATGATGTGAAAGATAAGCCTTCAGAGAAAATGGAAATAGATAATGGTTCAGAGGTTTTATTTTCCTTACAGCCAAAGTGCAAGCTCAAAAGTTTCAACTGAATCACTGCACATATAAAAATCAGCAAAAAGTTCCCACTTTCTTGATGGAATAATAAAAACTAACAACAAAAATCAAAGTTTCTGAGGGGAATATTTTTTTAAAAGTCTGTTTTTTAAAGCCACAGGTACCTGTACGTTGGCAAAATCAACACGGTTGAGATCACTGAGCATCTGGTTGATCTGAGAAGTGTTTTGAAGCACAGCCCGAGCTGCCTGAGCCAGGTGATTAAGAGATGTGTATCTTCTCAAAGTCTGGGCAAAGGCACTTACAGCAGCAACCTATGAAGAAATCCATTCATCCTAACACGTTGTATTATCAGCAGGTCTTCTATTTAATCTATTTTAATATTAAAATTATTCTATTAGTTTATGATCCCTCAGACACTGCAATTCACGTATACTGGAACAAATACAGTTTTTCCTGGTTTTTTCTTGGTTTGTTTTTTTTTTTTTTGCAAACAAAGTTATTTCTAATCCCATGATTCATGTTCGAAGTTCAACCTAAATATGACATTTAGCATAAAAGTTAAAATGCTGCTACTTTTAGATCTTAAATGACATCTAGTGTACAATTACATAAAGTGAAGACTGCAGTAAACTGAAGTAAACTTTGTTTACCTTGGTTTGTATCATTCTCTGTGGAATATTGCTCATGGCACTGGAAAGCCAACCTTCAAGGCTTTTTGCAAAATTGCGAATGGCTTGAGTCAAGGCACCTAAATGTTAAAGAATAAAAATAAAATGAAAAAGATGGCAAGGTATCTCTCTTGAAACCTTTTGCATCCTCAGCATTTAAATATTCTGCATTGAGATCTACTGTATTTATTGGCGAAGAGATGTATCCAGTCCAGGTTTGGATCCCTCTCAATACAAGAAGGATGTTTGTTGATAAACTGGAGCAAGTTCAGTAGAGGACCACGGACATGGTCGGGGGCTGGAGCAAATACCTTATGAGGAGAGGCTGAGGGAACTAGGTGTGTTCAGCCTGGAAAAGAGAAAGTTTAGGGGAGAACTAATAGAAGCCTCTCAATATCTACAAGGTTTCAAGAAGACAGAGTCAGAGTCTTCACAATGATGCATGGCAGGAAGGTAATAGATGCTGGTTATGAACTTGAAAAAGAGAGGTCCTAACTTGATAAATTATTTTCACCTTGAGGACAGTCAAGCAGTGCCAATCATGGCCCCTCATTGGACTCTACAGTGTATCCGTGCCTCTAGGGAACCCAGAACTGGACACAGGACTCTAGGTACACAGTACACAACTGGCGCTGAATAAAGGGGAAGGGTTTACCTACCTGGATCTACTGGCAATGCTTTGCCTAATGCAGCCCAGAATAGCATTAGCCCTCTGTGGCACAGGCACACTGCTGGCTCATGTTAAATTGGTGTCTACCAGGACCCTCAGGTTCTTTTCTGCAAAGCTGTTTTCCAGCTGGCTCACGTCGTCCCTCCCCCCCCGTCCCCCCCCCCCCCGGGCATGTACCGGTGCATGGGATTGTTTGTCCCCAGGGGCATGGCTTGGCACTCCTCCTTGTTGACGTACATGAGGATCCTGTCAGCCCGTTTCTCCATCTTGTCAAGGTCCCTCTGGATGGCAGCGCAACCCTGTGATGTATCAGCCACTCTTCACAGTTTTGTGTCATCAGCCAACTTGCTGAGGATACACTCTGCCCCATCATCCAGATCACTAATGAAGACATTGAACAGTATTGGATCCAGTATTGACCCCTGGGGTACACTGCTATTTACTGGCCTCCGTCTAGATGTTCTGCCACTATGCCCATGGGATCTTCTTTGAGGATGGAGGACTGCTAGGGAGAGACAGGATCCACATGACCTACTGGGGCACAAACAGCTTTGCCAACAGGCTGGATAACCTGGTAAGGAGAGCTTTATGCTAGGAATGATGGGGAAGTGATGAACAACAGTCAAGTGAGAAAGCCATAGACCAAATGGGCAAGCGAAGGATGTGGCATAAGCAGGAGGGTCCTTGTAATCAACAAAACTTCAAGCATATGCATAGGAAGTGTCAGGAGATCAGCATTATAGTAAAGCTTTCATGCCCTTTTGGAGAAATTGGCACGATTGGGTGCTTCTTTGAAGTGTCTGCACACCTATACCCACAACTCGGGGAAAAACAAGAGGAATTAGACATCTGTGAGCATTTGCAGGGCTACGATCTCGGGGATCGGAGAGATATTGTGGGATGTCTCATACAATTGGAGTGCTGCAATGGATGGATACGGAATCTTTAGGGAAAACAAGACAAGAAGATGCTCTATATGAAAGAGGACCTGGAATGCATGGAGCTTTGCCTAGGGATAGATGATAAGCCAGTTGAGAGCTTAAGGGTCCGGGTTAGATGACATACCAACGTGGGGGATGGTGTGAGTATCTGATAGAGACTGGCTGATCAGGAAGAAGTAGATGAAGTCTTGAAGTGGGTTGACCTTGGCTGGCTGCCAGGTGCCCGACAAACTACTCTATCACTCCCCTTTCTCAACAGAACAGGGGAGAAAAACGTGATTAAAAGCTTGCGGGTTGAGATAAGGGAGAACATTCAACAGTTACTGTCGCAGGGAAAACAGACTCGGCTTGGGGAAAATAATTTAATGTATTGCCAAATACAGGATAATGAGGAATAGAAACAAATTTGGAAACACTCTCCCCTCCCCCTCCGACCCCCCCCCCCCCCGCTTCCCTTCTTCCCAGGCTCAAGTTCACTCCCAACTCTTCTACCTCCTCCCTCTGAGTGGTGCAAGGGGACGAGGAATGGGGGTTGCAGTCAGTTCATCACATGTTGTCTTTGCCTCTCCTTCCTCCTCAGGCTCTTCCCCTGCTCTAGTATGAGGCCTCATCCATGCGAGAGTCCTCCACAGACTTCTCCAACGTGGGTCCTTCCCACAGGCTGTACTTCTTCACAAACTGCTCCAGCATAGGTCCTTTCCACAGGGTGCAGTCCTTCAGAACAGACTGCTCCAGTGTGGGTCTCCCCACTGGGTCATAGGTCCTGTCAGAAAACCTGCTCCAGCGTGGGCTCCTCTCCACAGGGCCACGGTTCACGGTTCCTGCCAGGAGCCTACTCTACCATGGTCTCTCCATGGGCTGCAGCTTCCTTCAGGGCACACCCACCTGCTCTCGCAAGAGGTCCTCCATGGGCTGCAGGGCGACAATGTGCTTCGCCATGGGCTGCGCCATCTCTGCTCGGGCACCTGGAGCACATCCTCCCCCTTCTCCTTCCATGACCTTGATGTCTGCATAGGTATCGCTCTCAAATATTCTCACACTTCTCTCAGCGCTGCTTTTTTGCAGCAGTTGTTATCCTTTCCTAAGTATGTTATCACAGAGGCGCTACCAATGTCTCCGATTGACTCAGACTTTGGCCAGCGGCAGGTCCATCTTGGAGCCAGCTGAAACCGGCTCTTTCCAGCATGAGGGCAGCTTCTGGTATCTTCTCATAGAAGCCAGCCCTGCACCCCCCACCTATACCAAAACCTTGCCGTGTAAACCCAATGCAGGTCTTCTTCAGGCAACTGGAATAAACCTCATGTTCACAGGCTCTGATTCTCATGGAAGACTTGAACAGCCCCAATATCTGCTAGATGGACAACAAAGCAGAGCACAAGCAGCCCAGGAGGGCAGTCAAGCAGTGCAACTGGTTGCCCAGAGAGGTTTGTGTAGTTTCTGTCCTTAGATGTTTCCAAGACCCGACTGGGAAAAGCCCTGATCAAACTGTCTGAATTCAGCATCGACCATGCTTTGAGCAGGAGGTTGGACTCGAGACCTCCTGAGGTCCCTTCCAACCCGAATTGTTCTTGGAATTCTATATTACGTAGCAACTATTTAGTTTCTGATTTAACAAACAGATCTGACCACCTATGACCTTTTCAAGAAACTTATGATCAGCAGTGAAAATTCATTTTGGCATTCCTACAGGTACATCAGTAATCTCCTGAAAACTGCCATCATGAATTTTCCACCTTCAATGTAAATGCTTCTGCTTTTAAAGAGCAAAACGCTGCAGGGAATGGCAGTTATCGCAATACCACAGTTTCCTCAAGTAAGCTCAAAGTACCCTGAACCATTGCCAACATGCTGTTTATTTTAGTTCTGAAGAACAAAATGCAATGTGCAGTGTTCAATAAGCAATATATAAGAATGCGTTTAACTAACAGAAGGTAGGACTGCTCTCTGTGCTGCAAAATCCCGGTGGTGGAGATAGAATGCTGCTACAGTAACGAAGGAAGAAAAAACTAGAAAAGAGAAATCATATTATCTTAAAGTGTGGGTTTGTTTTTTTTTAACCTATACCATGTCTGTCAAGAAAAAAAGATCATAGAGATACTACATTTTTGCAATACTTTGCTATAAATGTAATGGAAATGCTTAATCAAATATCTAATAAGTGTGTTTTATTTTTCACAGCATCCTTTTCTTCAAATTTGTAGTGATGCCTAGTTTATGTAACTGCCCCCTAATGCAGATGATCATCTGAAAATTGATTTGGATTTCTAAAACTTCTGTATTAGCTCTGTGGAACAGGCTTTTTTTTCCTTTTTTTTTTTCCTTTTTTTCTTTTTAATGAGGTTTCCAGTCAGAGAACAAACTCTCTTTTGCACTGTCAACCATCTAACCCACTTACCCTTCTACATAAACGTTTTTATATGCACTAACTGAGCATTCACTCATTTTAATTTTTTACCCGCAGAATAAGAAAAAGTCAAAGAATAAGGAATACTGTAAATAATGTGTCAACAATATTTAGTCTTTTGAAGAAAATAGCATATTTTTCTAAAGAAATAATATTCCCTCTTTCTATCTAAACACTGTACTATTAGTGGACAGTGATGTATATAGAGTGATCACAAATTTCTAATGAGCTCTGAAAATGATACATTAAACGAAAAAAAATTGTTGTCCTCTGTCCTGTCCTGTAAATAGTGGTTAACATACCCAGCCGTTACCAAAAGCCTAAGCACCTACATGCTCCAAACATTCTTCAAGTTGATCTGACTGTCACCAAAATTGCCAGAAACCTCTTCCAGAGAATCTTAAGAACAATCCGGTGAGAAAAAAAAAGGCCTAAGTTCATTCTGATAGTTTATAAAGTGCTACTAAACACACGTGAAATGATGTAGCCAAAAAAGTTACAAGGAGAACGTTTATCTTTGTATAAGCATTCAAAAAGCTTGGGTTCTCGTCTGAAATCTCTCTCCTACACAAATCTCACAAACAACAGGATTTTGCAGTCTTTCCAGTACTTGCAATTTCTGAAATACAATGTGAAAAAATATGTTGAACGTAACTTTTCTGCCTGGATTAGGAACTCCCTGGCAAGTTTGTTACTGTCTATCTTGTCACTTGTGAAGAGGTAGAAAGGCCATTCTCAGGGGAAAGGCTCTATTGCCACTAAAACACAGTGGCTCTGTTTTTTTTGCTAGAGTCATTAGATAATAATGAACTTTACTCCCAACTCAAGTATAGTGTTTAACTGCTTTTTAAACAAAGACATTTGGCTTTTTCCTACGCAGTACTTTGTCATTCATTCTGCGGGCACTAAAAAGCTTTCACAAAAATTTCAACTGACCAAATTTTACTTAGAGTTTGTTTTTTTCTGAAAGTTTTTCCTCACTGTTTATTTCTTTGACCTGAGTTCAGCTTTAGCAGTCATTTTTCTCCTTAGTAGCTGGTGCAGTGCTGTGGTTTTGACTTTAGC